TGACAAGTTAACTTAGTTCTTCCTGGAGTATTAGGCAAAACGAGTCATAAATAAAAATATTAAAAAATTTAGTAAATATCCTGTTTATCCTGTTTTTATATATGTTTTTTTTTTTTTATGTTTAAAGAAGCTTCTGTCAAACACCACAAAATAAGATGGGAGGATGACTGTAGTAGATTATTCCCACCGCCTGAATTATTCCATCCCCCTATAAAAAACTCAAAATGAGATTGCGCTTTCGGGTTATAACTGTTAGAAGTGTACCTAAAATGTCCATACTACCTTAGTAAACATAAACAAGGAGAAAAATTTTAATTTAGTAAATTCTCATAAATTGAAATTTACTTTATTAATCATCAGCCAACAGTTTAGGTAATAAAATTGAATTCGTCACCATTAAGGTAAGAATAACTTTTTTTCTGGTCACACCATTAAACAGTTTTTTTATTATTATTATTAGCATGTCGTTTCTATGTTGTGTAAATATACTATATTTTTCATGGCAACATAAGTTTATGTTATACTTAAAGTAAAATAAGAAATATAATAATTTTTTGTTTGCTATTATATAACATTTCTTGCTAATACTGCTCTCAAAAAAATTGTAGTATTCTTACTTTTAGAGGGGTATTATACTAATACTAAAATTCATATATAAACCTATTAAAAGTTTATTAAGTTTCAGTAGTGGTGTAGTAGTAAAGCGCTTGTTTCATAAGTCCATTGTAGTACTGCATTTTGTTTCTTTGTGCAGAGGCTTTGTTTGTCAAAGTTTATGTTTCAGAGTTATTGAAAGAGAGTTTTAACCACAACTAAAAGTTGCCTCTTTAAATGTTGTGGCCTTCATAGTATGACATAGTATAACATGAGTATTTGTAGAAAAGAGAATGAGAAGCAACATTACAATGATTTGATAATGGTTGGAGGTTTGCAAAACCAGGTCCGACTATAATTACAATGCGCTTTTGCACCTTAATAACCTTTTGTCTAATAGGGAAAGAGCATGATTAGAAGATCCAATGATGGCTCTTTCCCTTTTAGACAAGGTACACAAATCTTGTGACTCCAATAAAAATAATTTTTTTAAATTACTTTTTGCAGTAGACGCCAACAGCTTTCAATAAAAAAGTAATAATTTTTTTTAGCTTAAAATTAATTTTTTTAGTTCAAGAAATAATTTCAAATTTATTTCAATTGATTCAGCATTTTTTTATAATTTTTGAATTGGTCTCTCTTGGTACAAACTTCAAAAAGTTTTTGAAAAAATAATTATTGCTAGAAAATTTGAAAATTTTCTAGCAATAATTATTTTTTGTTCAAGCTTCTCTTAAAATTTTCAACAAGGTTATCTTAAAAAAAAATGTAATGAAAAAAAAAGTTATATATTTTCAGAATTATATGAGCTGAATTATCTTAAGGTATAGTTACACAAAATAGCAATCACATAATAATAATCATAAAAAACAGTTTTGGTGAAAAATACCAATAAAAAAATAAAATATCAAAAACTGTTTAATGGTGTGACCAGAAAACAAAGTCAGGGTTTTTCACCTTAATGGGTATTTTCACCTTAATGGTGACAAGTTCAATTTTATTACCTAAACTGTTGGCTGATGATTAATAAAGTAAATTTCAATTCATGAGAATTTACTAAATTAAAACCATATTTCAACAGTAGTCAAATTAAACATAAAAAACGAAGTAGAACAGAACCTTGTCGTCGAACTAAAAAAAAGAAAAAAAATTAATTTAATAAAGAAACGTTTTCAATTTGAACAAAACAAATAACTTTTTAAATAAAAATATAAAAAAATCAATACTAATTTCTGCAGAACATTAGAAATAGCAAACATAGGACTTAAAAACATATATACATAACAAAAAAATGATATGCTTAAGTTTGGAAAAAAATTGAATATCAATATAAAATTACAATATCTTTAAATCAGGTTTAAATAATAATGATATGTTGGACTAATAACTGTACTAATTAAAGTAAGAATAACACTTTTAATTTATGTTCCTATAGTAAAAAAAATGTCCTACAACTTAAATATCAAAAGCTCTAGAAATTCTCAATCACAGTAAAATATAATAATAATTTATATCATTCAATACCAGTTTCATACGTTTTGTATTGGAAGATTTACGTAGGGGGATATGATGATTCAGACACTATACTTGTAAATCATTTTTACATAATTTTATAACTTATTGATATATAGTTGCATAATTCCTATTACTATCACTTCATGCTATTATCACACCATCTTAAATTAAACGATTTACTAAGGGGAGGTAATAATTTAGAAACTGAAAGATGTATTTGTTTTATTTAACTATAAATCTAAAAATTTATAGTTGTTCACTATTTATTACATCATTCAATACCTTTACCACACCAACTTTTAATAAATGATTAACTAGGAGGAAGAAGATAATTCAGACGCAAGTTTAGTAACTATTTTTACATAATTATACAACAAATTTAATCAGTTAGTTTAAATAAAAATTATTCTACTATTAACTAATTATTAATTATTTTATAGTTGTAGAATTTATTGTAGAATTATTATTCTTTAATAAAGATCAGACCATCTTATATTGAGAGATTTACAAAGGAGAGGCATTAATTCAGACAGATATAATTTATATCTGTCTAAACTTTATTTTTTCATATACTGTTATATAATAAAAGTATTTGTAAAATATTTTTATGTAAATAAATAACTAATTAGTTTATAGTTAATTATTTTCTATCACTACCACTCTTTCTTATATCATCTTTATTTTATTACTTTTATGTAAATTTTATTTCTAGAATTCTTGTCTCCTAAGCGCTTTTTTCTCCTTGTTTATGTTTACTAAAAGATTATTAAAAGATACTTTTTTATCAAAGAGATAAAAAAGTATCTTTTAATAAAGAATATTAAATGTGTTACAATGATAGAAAAGTATCTTGAATGTGCAATATTTATAGAGGAAAAGAGTAACCTCCTCAAAAAAAAATTTGAGGAGCCATTTTGAAAAAATGAAGCAGTGAGACAAAAAATGTTTTTAATTTTTCTTCCATCAATGAGTTCTCACACTGGACGCGTTACTGGAAATGTAAATAATTTTGTATAAAATCTGATTTTGCGAAATTTAACTAAGTTTATCATATTGTCTAATTTAATCATAATAGTTGTATAAAATTATATTGATATATTTACCAGGCTTGGTCGGGAAGCGGGAGCGATCGCTCTCGAATACTGACCACGGAAATTATAGTTAGTTGCGAAAAACTGGCAAGGTTTTTTAGTTGCTTTGAGAACATTTAAGTTTATGTTTATTAAGTTTAAATTTTGGTTTTACGGACAAAAATGAAAACATAAAAAACTTGAATGTTCTCAAAACATCTTGGTGCGGAAGAATGAAAAGAATATTCACGAACTCTAAAAATCCGCTAAATTAACAAACAAACTAATTCTATTGGTTAAAAAATACACTGACTAAGCCAAATAAAGTTCTAGAGTATTATGTTGAAATGTTGTAGAAATTGTTTTATTCATGATTTGTTACGTTTTGAGATTTCTAGCATAGATTGTTATAAGAATATATTATTAATTCTATCGCTCATTCTCGGAGCCACATCTGCAAATTCTCAGATTCTCGGAGCCAAAATAGCCGTAAATCTTATAAACTATTATTTTCTAGATATTGGATATTCTAGATATTACTAAATCGAATTATTTTCGATTAAGTTGCTATTCTTAAAAACTTGTTATACTTTTTTCTGCTTTATATACTAATTAAAATTAAAAAGCCCACTCACTAAACATCATTAGCGATATTATGAAGCAGTTTCGCTTCCTCGTCATAAAAGTATTTTTAACTTTTTTAATTGATTTCTATCTAGTAAATTTAATTTCTTTAGTTCAATGATTTAATTGTTTCATTTGTTTTTCTTACTAAGAAGAATTGTTTCAAATATGTTAAACTTTTTAAACTACGCGAAACATAGAATAGGTATTAAACAAATTAACTTTTTTATTTATAAAATAATTTAGCTCAGATAAAACTAAAACTCGCAAACTTTGATAAATAAAGAACATTTTTAAGTAAACTTAAGATGTTACTTAATATAAAAAACGTCGCTTAATTTTATAAAAGAATTATAAAAGAGCGATGTTTCGAAAATATTTGTTCTAAACGTAATTTATTTTCCTTAAAGTTTTTTTTGCGTTAAAAGATATTTTATTTTCCTAATTTTTTTTTTTTTTTTGTAATTGTCTCTCATCGGTCCAATTAATCTTCGCATTTTTGTTTTGTTTTTTTAAAATGTTCTCAAAACGACTAAATAATCTGGCCAGTTTTTCGCAACTAAATATTATTTCTGTGGTCAGCAATCGAGAGCGATCGCTCCCGCTTCCCGACCAAGCCTGATTTACAATTGATTTTTATTTCCTTTATTTCAGTGTTTAAGTGTTGATGTTTAATTTCTTTATAAATTACTTACTTTATATCTTAATCATTTTTCTGTTAAAAATTCTTTTTATTATTATAGGCACTCAACAAGTGGCTATTCCTTTTATTTAACTTTTTTTTTCTATTGAGACCAACCACCCTTTAAACCACCTACAGATTTTTACATTTTTTTGTTTAAATTTTCTGATGATTCTTTTTTTTCTTCAAGGCTGCTGGTATATCTTAGCCAATTGATGCAAAATTGAAAGAAGAAATATTTACATCATCTGAATTTGTAACTAGTGTTGATGAAATGCGTAGGAGATTAGAAATCATTGTGACAAGAAAAATTTTTAAAAATAGTATATGTCCATCTAAATCAAATAAAAGATTCTTTTTTTTGAGTTTTTTTAAAGTCCATTTTTATTACACTCCCTGCTCTTTTATGTTCAATTTTATTAATAGAAAAGAGAATGTGCAGAATAAGCAGTTAGCTAATTGATTTTGTGTTTTTCTGTCATATGCTTTCAATCGTTCTGCATTGAAAAAATCATAAGGAAGGAACCTTGACGTGGTTCATGTGCTTTAAAACAAATACCTTCCAGACAGAAACTTTCTGACACCTTGTGTGTGAGTTGTAGTATTTTTATATTGGTAGTTTATAATCTTCTAGTTGAAATTCTTGCTTTCAAGGTGATTTTTTTCTTGTTTATTTAGATAACATGGAATGCATTGAGGATTTTGAGAGATGAAAGTATAATTTTTATCAATTTTAAATAAAAGCAGATGTTTTAGAGTATTTAGAGTATTATTAAATAAAATGTAATGTACGGAAGTTGAGTGAAGTTTGTTTGAATGTAGATAACTTGCATAATTTTATTTTTTCATCAGTTAACTTTTTAATTTTCTACTGGAGTCAATGTTATAAAACTTTTTATCAGCGTGAAATGCTAGCAGCTGTAAATTTTATTGGTGTAAATGATTTGTTTCAATGTTATAAAATTTTTTTTCAAATTATGGTTGATAAATTTCTACAGCCGAAACATTTACAGTCGATAAATGTGCCGGAGGAGTGACCTATGGAAATTTTTGTTGAAGATCCAAAGATATGAATATTTAGTTGTAGAAATCTGTGGTTTAGAACTTTTCAAAGTACTTACCTTTAGTTGAAAACTTATTACAAATTCATTAATTTTAGTTAAGTGTACATTTCTTGGTAAATTTTAATTTCAAGCGATACCTTTGTTAATATTTTTTTACTGAATTTATCATGTAAGAAAAGTCATTCTCAAAATTTAAAACTGCTCTCATTAACTACTTTTTAGAAAAACATTGCTTATAAATTTTATACTTTCATTCAACTTATTATTTATAACCTTAATTCTGAGCTTCTATTTATCTAATTATTTTCTATTTAGTTGTGATTTAATATTTTTTGTTAAACTTATTAAATTTAACAAAAAATATTAAAACACAACAGAAATGAGGAAAAAAATTAGATAAATAGAAGCTCATAAGGGTTATAAATAATAAGTTGAAGGAAAGTGTTGTTGTTATTGTTATTATTATTGTTGTTGTTATTTTTACTGTTATTTGTGTTATTATTATTATTAAAATAGTATAGTGTATACTTTTTATAATCTTTACTCTTAGGGGAGACTGGTTCTCCTAGGGTTGCTATGTACCTAGATACATTCAAATATTTTGAGAATTTTGTATGAGAGCATAATATTTTTTGCATGTGGCAACACTCCACCTCTTGAGGTCAGTTGACAGCCGAAGTGTCATTGTGTTGGTGTGAAGCATTGCAAAGTGGTGAATAAAAATTGATTTTACAACCCTTTTACGTAAGTTTTTTAACATTTTTCTTTTTTAATTTCGCCCTTATAATGTATTTAACATAATATTTCTTATGTAAAATACATTATAAGGTTATTTCTTTTTATTTCTTCATTTATTTATTTTAATCGCTGTTATTACAACTATTAGTTTTATTTACTCCTACTTGCATTGTAATTATTATTAATAATACTTCAATAATAATAAAATGATGCTAATAATATTAGCATCATTTTATCAGTATTGAAGTTTACAGGTGTTTATTTCATATTAGTACTTATTACTATTTGTAAATAACCTTGATGTGTCAACTTTATTCTGAATATATTTGGTTTGTTTTTTTTTATCACTGAAAATTTCAAGGTTAATAAAAAACAATGAGGTAAAAACAATTTTACCTCATTGTTCTTTAAGAGCAGAGTACTCAATGTTCTTAAAGTACAGAGCAATAATAAATTAGTAAAAACACTTATCTAATTTTTATCTTCGGGAGCTTGTTTCTGCATCAGTAGGTTTATCAGGAAGCCTGATCAACTATTGAAGCTACTGATAAATTTTCCTCATGTGATGGAGAAACACGTTGTTAAAGAATAAAATTAGAGTGTTTTTACTTTTACTTAACTTTACAAATTTTCTTTTAGACATTGGAGCTTGAAAGAAAACCATCAGAAATTTAAAGTGTTTGAAAATTTCCAAAGTTTGTTAATGAGCTAATTAGAAAAATGCACTTATGCTAGATTTATTAGGACTATTTATTGATCCAAAAACCAGATCAACTTTAGTTTTACACAAACTCAAAATGGACAGGCAAAAGAAATTTCTCCATTTAAAATTTATGCAGAGGTTATTTGAAATTCGAAATAGTAAAGCAAGTGGTCAAACTATAAACAAAATTATTAAAGTTCTAGAAATTACCTTTGATGCTCGAATATCGTATGAGCTGAAATATTTTTGATTAAGTCAGATAACAAAATAAATCAAAGATTTTTCTTCTTATTCAGAAAGTGTTTAGACATTATGTACAACTTGTTTCCAAAGTTTCTCATATTGCCTATGGTATGGAAGCACGTCAAAACTTATTGTAGATAAAATTCTAATCAGAAAGAATCAAAAGAGTTTAAAGTTTAAATGTTTATTTGTGTCTAAATAAATTTTTTTATATAAAAATTTGAGTTAGTGAATAATTCTTTTAATTATTTAATATTTAAAGTTATTTTTTTAAACAGTTTATTTATGGAATTTTTTCCTATTTTTTCTGTGTGTATAGATTTTCTATGTGTATAGATTGTATAATATGTGTTTCTATGTGTATAGATTGTATAATATATAATGTGTATAGATTTTCTATATTTATATCAACACAATTTTACAAAATAAAGAATGATTAATTACCTAATTAATTACGTAAAAATTATGTTCTCAACTCAAAAACATTTTGTTTTTGACAACCTTTTATGTTATTGGTTCGGACAGTAGATTTTAGTAGAATATAAATTCAGTAGACAGTAGAAAATAAATTCATAGCATAGATATATACAAAATATTACGCCCGTAAAAGTTTTAAAACAATTAAATGAAAAAATATTTTACGTCTCGGCTGTAAAAATTCCGCCTGTAGCATTTTACGCCGATAAAAGGTTTTATAACATTGACCCTTGGTCGTTCAACTTTAAGTTTTGTATCTACAACAAATGGCTGTGTGAGATCATATCCTAATCTAATCATAAATTTATTTTAGGGAATAAGCAGTATGAAGAATAAATGCTTAAGAAGATGTTTAACAACGATAATGAACTTCAAATATTTTTTTTAAATGCTATTGTTAATTTTAGTTAATTTATTTTAACGTTTTATTTATGTAACAGTGCCTAAGTAACTTTAAAGATATATATGAAATTGTATATTTAATTTTTAATTTTTTTTATACTAGTTTAATTCATGCTTTTTTTTAAGTTTTTTTGTTTTTTTTATTATTGATACTTTAGCTTTAAATGCAGCCAAGCTTTTATATTTAACCATTTTTATTACGCCGCTACAGCTTATGAAATTAACCTCTTTTGATTAAACAGCGACAGCTTATGAAATATTGGTTTCATTTATTAATGTATTTTTTAGTAATAATAATTTAATAGGAACTTAAAAAGTGGAAATTATGATTTATATTGAACATGTATTTACTTTTTAAAAGCTGGCTTATATGAAATAAGGAGAGATTTATCAACGAAACACGGACGACATTGGACAACGGCGCTTGTTATGAACACGTCGTTTGACGTGTTCATAACAAACGCCGTGTTGTTGTGAAACAAATGCTAAAGCCATTTAGCATTTGTTTCACAACACATGCCTAAAAACCGTTAACAACAATGACAGCTATATCCTGCTTGAAATCTGTAGGAGATTTAGATTTTTTAGGCTATGCTAAAGATTTAATAGATGTTTATGAATTTTAATTGAGTTAAACGATTCCCATAAATCATATCCATATTGGAAATATGATAGGTTTGATATAAATACTAGGTGATGTACGATGTAAAATTATTGTTTCAAGAAAAAATACCTCGTCACCATTTATGTTTTTGGTATCTCAGAATAAATTGTGATCGCACAGAGAACTACATGCAGTGGTATAGAAAACTTTGCACTTTGCTAAAATGACTTACTTTTCCATGTAAATAACTTGTGAGGAGAAATCAGTTACAAAGCTTTGTATTTAAAAAAAATTAAGGCAAAAAATTTTTTATTTTTTTTTTAATAAATAAAATATTTATTTAACAAAATTGTTGCAAGCAACCACTACTAAGTTAGGAGTTACTAGGAAAAAAAGAACAGAGTTATAGAGCAAGGAAACGGTTGACAGAAGACTTGAAAAGTTGAAGGTTGTATGAGTCAGGAAAACATGAAGATGGGAGAGAGTTCCAAAGGATTGAAGTGCGGGGAAAAAAACTAGATGAATAAAAGTTTTTAGAGCATGCAGGGACAGATACAGTAAACGAATGAGACTTAGCTGAATGACGAGTAAAACGAGAATGAATTTTAGTTGATGGAACTAGAGATGATAACTCCTTTGAGCAGTGATCATGATAGTATTTGTAGAAAAGAGAAAGAGATGCAACTTTACGACGATGGGAAAGAGGTTCAAGCTTAGCAGTCCAGGTCCAACAACATTTACAATGCGTTTTTGGACCTTGTCAAGAAGAGAAAGTGAATCGTTAGAAGAACCATCCCAAATATGACAACAGCATTCCATACAGGGACGAATAAGAGATTTGTAGAGGTAGAGAATGGAATCAGAAGTAAGGAAATGGCGAGCACGATAAAGAAAAGCAACCTTAGCAGAAGCTAATTTAGCAATCGATTGTATATATGGTTTCCATGAAAGGTCAGTAGTAAGCGATAATCCAAGAAGACATAAAGAGGAGGACTCAGTAAGAGGATTGCCACTCATTAATATAGGAATGTTGACCATATTACGGTAGTTGTTTGCAGTAAGCAACTGGGTTTTGTTAGAGTTGAAATTCAAAAGCCACTGTGAACCCCAATCTATTACTGAAGTGAGATCGGATTCAAGATCAGCTGCTTGTTCTAGGCGATCGAAAAGAGAAGACTTTTTGTCAAGACAGGAGTATAAAGTTGAGTCATCAGCAAAAAGAGCTACTTTAGATGAAAGATTGTCAGGAAGATCGTTTATGTAGATAAGAAACAAAACAGGGCCCAGGATGGTACCTTGGGGAACCCCAGAAGTTACTGGAAATAAAGAAGAGTGTTGGCCTTCAAGGATGACTTTAATAAACCGGTTAGAAAGAAATGATTTGATAATCTCAAAAACTTTTCCAGAAACACTATATGAAGCAAGCTTATGGAGAAGACCAGCATGCCAAACTTTGTCGAAAGCTTTAGATATGTCGAGAGCAATAGCCCTAGCCTCACCGCCTCCATCTAATGCACGATAAAATCTTTCAGTTACAGCAGTTAGCAAGTCGGCCGTAGAGCGAGAGGATTGAAAACCGTATTGATTGTCTGACAGTAGTTTATTTGACTCAAAATGAGATGTGAGGAATTTGTTGATCAAAGACTCAAAGACCTTGCTAATAACAGAAAGAAGACTGATCGGACGATAATTGGAGGGGTCAGAATTTTCTCCAGAGTTTTTAAATATTGGAACCACAGATGCCATTTTCCAACAAGCAGGAAAACAAGACTCAGTCAAACACTTGTTAAATAGTTTGGAGAGAATTGAAGAAAATTCTGGAGAACAATTCTGCAAGACTGTGACAGGAATGTTGTCTGGACCACAAGCTGTAGACGAGTTTAATTGAGATATGACTTTAGCAACAGAAGCCGGAGTGATTTGAATGTCTAACAATGGGTCAACCTGTTTGACTGGAATGGAAGGAAGAGAATGTCCATAAGATTCAAGAGTGGAATTAGAATAAAAGTTCTTTGCAAATAGTTCTGCCTTATCCTTGGGAGAGGTAATAAGATCAGTCCCATGAATGAGAGATGGAATGTTAGATCTACCCTTGTTAATAATGCTGTTGAAGATTTTCCAAAAGTCTTTAGAGCCTAACTTCTGCGATAAGATGCGAGATTTAGTGAACTGAGAATCAGTTCACTAAATCTCGCATCACCAGAAAGCACCTTTTTACATCGATTTCTTGCAATAATAAATAGACGTTTGTTCTCAAGAGAGTTGTTCTTTTGAAAAAGATGAAAAAAGTGATTACGATTGGATATAGCAGCCGCACAAGAAGGAGAAAACCATGGAGTAGAATGAAGCTTGACTTGAAACCGACGAGAAGGAATAAAAGCTTCCATTCCAGTCTGAATCCAGGAGGTTACGTAGGAGGCGCATTTGTCAGCTGAGAGAGAAAAAACATCAGCCCAAGGACCATCACGAAGAAAATCACGAAAGAAATCCCAGTCAGCTTTAGGGTAGTAGTAGGTGGTGCGATGATAAGGTGAGCCCAAAAAAGAAGTACGAGAAGAAAGATTTATAGAGATCATTGCATAGTCAGAACCACCTAAGGGAGAAAAAGGAGAAACTGAACATAAGCTAGGGTCAGAGACAAGACATAAGTCAAGGAGTGAAAGTAAATGATTAGGGTTGTCAGGAAAACGAGTCACAAAGTTAACTATCTGAGTAAGAGATTGAGAAACGCAGAAGTTAAAGGCTTTAGTGCAAGCAGGATCAGTGGTGTTAGAGCCAAGCCATTCAGTGTGATGGGCATTAAAATCACCAACAACAACAATATTGGCAGAGGGCTAAAAAGAGAGGGCATGGTCAATTTGATCAGAGATAACATCTAAGAGAGTGCAATTATGGGAAGAAGGAGAACGATAAAGAACAAAGAGAAAGGTAATAGAGTGAAGAGGTGCTAGGCGAAAGCACATAAAAGAATGGTCAACGGATTTACTGAGCGCAAGCAAGTCTGGTGAATTTTGTAGGAAGGAAGACTCAACTGATGGAAAGTTGCTTCGTAGACCGTGAATATTTGTAAAAGATATATTAAAATATTTAGGTGGTGGGAATGGTTTTTTAGGTTTTAAATTTTTGGTTACTTTGGTCATGATTAGGGTTTAATGAGAACTTGACTCATTTATAGATAGAGCACAGCCTCCTAATCAATGAGCTATGCAGTTGTCTCAGTCCTGTTAATTAACCCTAAGCCGTGACATAGGGCTCATTATGTGGCCTTGACAATGCACACCAAAAGCATTAACAGGGACACCATCCATGCGCTACATGGCACTGTTAATACTCTGATATTTTGCAGCTGTTGATGGAATCAGCCTCTCTGAGAGCTACCACAGAGTTCGGGAAACCTTACTACCAGCCGGTCTCAGAACCATTAAACTGAGTTTTAGAGCTGTAACTTCATATAGAGATAACAAGAAGAGTTGCATAGCCATTATCAAGGAGGCATAAGCAAAATTCTATGAGTAGAGTCAAGGAGATCCAGCATTCATCATCCTAGGCAGGAAACAATGTAACACAGGTTACATCTACGCCAGCCTAATAGATGAAGAAGGGGTTCGAGGCTGGTTAGCAGATTTTTTCTGCTTACCCCTAAAGTCTTTGCCTGGGAGACCTTCTACAAGATAGTAGCTGGATGCAGTTAACATCTGCCCAAGATGAGTATTTTTATCGAGACACCATCTCTAGCCTTTACTCAACCGAGAGCCCCAAGGCAGGGGAATTTTTAGTCGGAGTTTATTTCGCATGATATTTTGGAAGTGCATTAGGAAAAATACTGCATCTAACAAAATACAGGAGTCTAAGGTGAGTGTAGGTTTTGTAGTTGGAGTAAGTAGTTAGTTACTGAGCTCACGATGCATTGTTCACATGCAATTGTTCATTTTTACGTAAAAACAAAACATCAGTAATTTTCCTTAAATTTTTATTCGCGTAAAGCTGAACGTAATTTGGAAGCTGGCATAATGACAAAATAAAACTAGCTAGCCCTCCCTGACAAATAGGTAAATTAAGATTAAATACTAAAAAGGGATATTTTACAGCACTTATTTAAAAGTTTATTTTTTAAATCAACACTCTAAATATAAAAAGTACTCATTAAACATTCTCTTGTGTCAAAAGCAAGTAAAAAATTCAACTAACTTCCAGACAAAATAAATGAGACCGCGTATGCAAAACTTTTGTTCGTATTTTTACAATTTTTGGCAAGTCATGCAATGACTTTTTTGTATTTCATGAAACCTATTGTTTGATTTATCAGGTGCATATATATTCATCAAAAAATCTATGTGTTAATTATTATTTCTGATTTACCTAAAAATAATAACTTTAAAAATGAAGTCTTGACTATCTTTTTAAAGCGGGTCATAAAGACATTAAGTCTTTGACAA